CCCCCCAAAAAATAGTGGAAAAAAAAAAAAAAAAAAAAAAAAAAAATCAATCAATAATGTGGTAAACAGACCTACAGGCAATAGCTTACCATCACCTCATGTATTTTTATTTTGCTTTCCTGGATTAAAAAAAGATCCCCTAAAAAGTATTAAAATGTAAAACAAAAAACACTCAAATACACATATAGCAAAGTGCAAGATCACTTTTGACTTGAATTTATGCTCACTAACGTACACACTTTATCCTACTGTATTATGGAAGTTTCCTTCTTTATCATTTTCACTGTATCTACTGTACACCAATGACCCATCTAACTTTTGAAGCATTCAGAGTATTCCAGCATTGACTTCTGATAGAAGTTGTTATAACACTAAGTTCAGGTATTCTAGAAGTGAAGAGCTGGCTTGGAACATGAACCAATGAAGACAGTTTTAGAAAAGTTGATGTTGGAGAATAAATGAGTGCGCGCTGAAGAATGCCTACAGCACAGAAAAGAGGCACAGACATGAGAAGAAAGTGGTGACAGACTGATGAAATTAACGAGAACTCCTTAAGAATACTACTTAGTATGAAATTCAATTGGACATTTTGTCTGAAAAGTTTGGTGGATCAGTAATTATAAAAAAAGATTTGGGGGACAAAAAAATTCATAGGCTGTGAATGTTGGTTAGGTGAGAGTTATGAGAAAATGGTGTCTGTGCTTAAGTTTTAAGTTATTGAAATAACTAAGGGTTTACTCAAGGTAGTTTACTGGCATTATCAAACCAATATAATGACAACAACGTTACTCCTTATCTGGATCTTTTTTGGAATAACTTTTTTGGTGTTAGCTTAATTTGCTTTGCTCTGCTCAACATAAGGAACCAAGGAAATAAACTAGTGGGGGGGAATAGAAAAGTTTTTTTAATACTTTATATTTCCCCCATTTTAAATAGGGCATTTCCCCAGAAAAGGGGAGAAAAAGCCATTTTAAAAAAATAAAAATGCAATTAGAACTCTCAAAATTGGAACCCAAACTCAAACCAAGGAGTAAGGGATCAAATGACATTTAAAGCAGGTTTTGCAAGTGTACTTGCTTTCTTGACTGCTTTAACAGATCACTCAACAATCTTTGCCATAACAGGTTAGAATCTCAATCAATTTAAAGTATTATCAGCCAGCAAAGGTGACTCTCCAAACACACACACACACACACACACACACACACACACACTTACTTCCAAATCTTATTTTGCTAGTTTCTGCATAATCATGATTTAGTAGTTTAAAACTAAGAGCCAAATATTATAAAGAATGAAGAATAATCTACGAAGAAACCATCATTCATCCCACCCTTCCCCATTTTTAAATTTCATGCAAATTTTCTAAAATATTTTGATCTGCACTTACCTATCACATCACCTTGTTCATGAATCATCATTCCTAAATCTTTAAATATTTCATTGATGTCCAGAATATCTGCCTGCAAGAGAATATAGTTTATTAAAAAAATTAGCACATGCCATGGGAAACTCCTGTGGTTAGCTAAGTGTTGTGTATTATTTCAGACAAGGCAGCTGTTTCCTTCACCAAGATGATAATACAAAGCTCAAGTTTTAATTGGTTTTAAAATAATCCAATCATATTAATCTAAATATGCAAAGTCAGTTGCACTGTATATCCTACTAGCATTAGAAGCCAATTTCTAAGATCTTATCTACACACAAAGTTGCTATGGCTTAATTAAAAGGTGTTTTTAAACTAGCTTAGGGAAAACTTGTTCATCTTGGCCTGGAAGGATAGAACAAGAAGCAATGGGTTTAAACTGCAGCAAGGGAGGTTTAGGTTGGACATTAGGAAAAAGTTCCTAACTGTCAGGGTAGTCAAACAGTGGAATAAATTGCCCAGGGATGTTGTGGAATCTCCATCTCTGGAGATATTTAAGAGTAGGTTAGATAAATGTCTATCAGGGATGGTCTAGACAGTATTTGGTCCTGCCATGAGGGCAGGGGACTGGACTCGATGACCTCTCAAGGTCCCTTCCAGTCCTAGTATTCGATAATTATCTATCCAGAGTGTTAATACTTAGCAAATCGGGGTGGAAATCTGAAGTGCTCTAGTCTGTTCCATGTTCACTTTCTGTACAAGCACGGCCTTAATTAAATTAGTGCAAAATTCCAAGTAAACACACTTATGTCAGTTTAAGAGTAATTTATGTCAATATGGCTTAAATAAATTAGTCAGTGACTTAAACCAAATGGAAACAAGTGTCTTCCCATATGGTTTTGCAGCAGTCTGTTTAAGTTAAAAACTGTGGAACTCTTATTGATGAACCCTTAAATTACCAAAAATATTTGTCCAGTAGAGGGCAGTGGAATACACCATACTAGCTATTAAATGTTAGAGAGCTTCAGGGGGTAGCAGAGTTAGTTTGTTGTTTTTTTTTCCTGTAACAACAAATGGTCTGGTAGCACTTTATAGAGTAACACAACATGTAGATGGCATCATGAGCTTTGGTGGGGCAGACCCCACTTCAGATGAAGAAGTGGGCTGTGCCCACGAAAGCTCATGATACCAGCTACATGTTTTGTTACTCTATAAAGTACTACCAGACTATTTGGGTTTTTTTTTCCTATTAAATGTTATGATAAACTGACATGTCACCTTGTTGTTTTCCTTACAATTATTTAGATCAGTTTAGTTTACCCACAAAAATAAGTAGTTACACAATCAGTACTACAAAGTCTATAAAGAAAAGGAGGACTGGATCCTATTTGTCTCATACATCAGCAAAGCTGCCTGTTAAAAGTCCAGTTCCAGGATCTTATTTGCTGGTGAACTTTGTTGGAGCTCAAGAGACGTATAATTTCAGTCCGTCTGAAATCGATCATTCATTCCCACTGAAGTCAGTTACTTTTTCAAAATCCACAGCTACCACAATGCCATTAATCCATAACCTGCATTTCCATTTCTGAGTCATTTAATATGTTAATTTTAAAATACTGGAATTTCTCTTGCCTCTCCCACCCAATCTTTGTTTTGTTTTTGGTAAATGAATGCACAGACAGAGGGACTGTCCTCAAGCATTTCTGTCCAAGTCCAGAAAAATTCAGTCATTTCTGGAGTCAATATTTCATATGCCAAATTACTGGTACTTTATATGCATATATAGCACAAATAGAAGCTGAACATAAAGGCAATTGGCACTAAAAATGAAAAATGATACATCTGGAAAATTGTATAGAGGGGATATTTTCCTTCCCCCCCCCTTCCAAATTTTTAAATAGAGTGCAGGAGACATGACCAAAATGGATTTAATGAAGGAACAAACTATGGACAAGAATGAAAGGCAATACTGTGCTACACAGCATATCTATAAAGATGCTATGGGATGAGGAAAACCCTCTGAAAAAAAGTTCTAGGGATCTTTGCACGAAAACCCAAGATTTATCTTATTTGATAGTCACGTGTGTGCCTGCTTATTCCTCAAGTGAAGTCAGGAGAGCTTAGTACATCATAGCATTATTTAACAGAACAGTAAAAAGTAAGTTTCCTTCATGTAGGAAATTCCATGTGCGGTTCTTTACCTTACTGCTTAAAGCAATTTCTTCATTAAAAAAATATTGTCTCACCTTTGAGGATGGATTCCTCCCAATAGTGCAGCAGGTTTTAGCACTAAGTAGTATCAGAAAAGTATTCTCAAGTTTGTTCTAACACTGCACATAGCAGCACACCTCACCTCAAGTTGCCTGATGGAGGACTCTCTCTCCTCAATAAGACGGAGATCATCTTCTGTAATGTCTTCATCTTGCACCTGTGCTTGAGGTTGACTGTAAAAGAAAAACACCCCACACACAATCAAGAATATTCAGGCTGAGTGAACTCCCCTTACGTATAAGGTTGAAATACATTTCATGTTAAAGACTAAAATAGAGAGAAAACACATTAAACTGTCTACCAACAAGACATGTTTTCCTTTGCAAAATGTGTGTGCAGTTGATGTGATAGGCTTGAGGACTCAGGCATTTCACAGCCTGTTTTGAATAATTTTCTTTGAGGGCCTGAAAATTGAGTGTTTTGGCTCACTGTTTTCTAACTAAGCATGCAGAGATGATATGTATCTTTCCATTTGGATTCTGAACAGTGTCATTTGCAGGCTGAAATCCATTTTGGCTTCTCTTATTAGTGGAGACTGAAGATTAAAGACATTTTGAAAAAATGCAGGTATTCTGGATACAAGTTCTAGAGACTCATCTGTACTAATCTGGAAGGAAAAAAGACAAACGGCTGCATTGTTGTTCTATTGCCCTTTACAGGCATAGTTGGACAAAGGTTCCTTACCACAATGTCCTTTCTTCAGAAGATTCTAGCAAACCAGAGGAAGCATGTTCCATTTTAGTGTTAATTCGTAAGAATTTTTAAAAGCCCCTTTAGCATCCTTAAATAAAAAATGTATATGCATAAGCAGCAGCTGTCAACATGTATGTGTCTATCTACTAGTCTGTTCTTCCCCCTTATCCTACAGTTGGCAGTTTATTCTCCGAAAATAAGTGGGAGGGCAGCCGTGGCTGGGATTAGCTAAATCTAACCTGACTAACTCAAAACACACAAAACTCTTAGCTTTGAGTCCATTGTCCATGGAAATAAAGGTTAATTTGGTGGAGATGTGGAGAGGAGTTTGGTACAATACTTAGGTCCTCATCTTTGTTGAAGCCTCTGGGCTCTATTGTAATAGAACTATATTACAAAAAACTAAAATTAGTCAATAAAAACGGGTTCTCTTCTGGGGTGGAGGATGGAGAGACGAGTCCAACCTCCATTGTTGCAGTTAAACAGGTTACATTAAGAACCAGAAAACCCAGAAACAGTCTGATAGTGTTATGGCAATAACATTTAAAAAAAAAAAAAAACATTTTCCAAGAAAACATATTTTCAGTTTTAACTTGTGTAGAAAACTAGCAGCTGATTATAGCTTTCAGTGGGTTCCAAAACACACACGCAAAAGCATGCTTTAATAAATGATTTTTTTAAATGCACTGTATAAGTGACCTTAATGAGTACATGTTCTCTTACAACATATGATATATTTAAGATGTAACCAAGGACTATAAGTCCCCATTGTTGAAGTTAACCAATCAATTTACAAGACTGGCTGTAAGGATTATGATACACCATCCTACCTGTCCAAAGGGACAAGTGCTCCTTCTCTGTAACTGTCTTCTGAAGGACCACCCTGTAGAATCAAGAAAAGTAAGTTCATTTTATTAGAGTGACAGGTACATAGTAGAGGGTTTATTGATATTCCCATAATGAATACAGATTAAGGGGCTTTTAACTTAAGTTAACTCCAACACGAAATGTGACTTGTTTGCAATATGGTGCTGCTATACATATGCATGTCTTAATCAGAGTCTGCATAACGATGTTAAATATTGGTTAATTTACTAGTCGAGTAGTACATGGAATTTGCATCGATAGGCACTTCTGAGTTCCTCCTTTGAAATGAGATCCGAGGGCTCTTGTGTATTTCAAAGTGGAAGCGCCTGTGTAGATTTCAAAGCGTGCAGAGCCCGGGGAGTCCCCAGCTGACCCCAGGTTCCACAGAAATGCCTCATGGAGCCCTGGGTCAACTAGGGAGTCCCCAGCTGACCCTGGCCTCCATGTGGCGCTGCCACTTTGAAACACCGTGACAGCGTTTCAAAGGGGCAGCACCACCCAAGGTTACCCATGGTGTTTCAGAGGGGCAGCTGCGCACAGAGCCTGGGGTCAGCTCCATGCGGGCACTGCTGCTTTCAAAAGGAGGAAGGAGAAAATTTGTTCCTCTTGGTTTCTGAGGACAGGACAAGGAGTAATGGGCTTAAAGTGCAGCAGGGGAGGTTTAGATTGGACATTAGGAAAAAATTCCTAACTGTCAGGGTGGTCAAATATTGGAATAAATTGCCAAGGGAGGTGGTGGAATCTCCCTCTCTGGAGATATTTAAGAACAGGTTAGATAGACATCTGTCAGGGATGGTGTAGACGGAGCTTGGTCCTGCCTTGAGGGCGGGGGGCTGGACTCGATGACCTCTCGAGGTCCCTTCCAGTCCTATTATTCTATGATTCTATGAAAGGCGCAATACCGCACAGAGCCTGGGATCAGCTGTGCGGCGCTGCCCCTTTGAACACCGCCACAGCATTTCAAAGCAGTAGTGCCACATGGAGCCCTTCCCCACCCCCTCCCCTTGCTGCCTCTCCTTGGGAGGTCGAGAGGACAGGCAGATCCATGGGATCCAGTACTTATGGGCGGGTGCACATGTAGTTTGGATTAACCAATAAACCTAGGCTTATTGGTTATCATTTAAGCAATTACATGTCAATCTTCCTAATTGATCTTTCTATCTATGTACCTCCTAAAGCAAAATTAGGGCATATGTACTATGCAGAACACCTTTGTGAAACATATATAGGCACAAGACAAAGTAAGTGTTTTAGTCAGGAATTACTATGAAATTATGTTTTCTTTAATCCAATCATTAAACTAAACTGAACACACAATTTTTAAATGCAATACATTATGTTCAGAGGCAAGCAAAGCAACTATGTTGGCATTGTGCATGCATTATACATCTGCAAGAATACTGCTCTCAATCTAATAAAGAGGCAAGTTTTATACTAATAAACCTACTGCCATATATAAAATAATGTTTGACTTCAATAATATATTTCTGGATACTTACAGACACCCTAGAGCTGGCTCTTACTCTGGCTACAATATCTTTTTCTCTCTCAGCAGCTTGCCTTTGGATCCTCTGGAAGTTGGCCAGTGCTGCACTGAACTCCCCCACAAGACGGTCTTTCTGTATTTTTCTTTGACGCTGTTGGAGGAAAGTTAGACTAGATTTTTACACCATCGAACACACTTGCTGTTGCTCAAGGCTTGAAAAGTAAGTTGCTTCACAGATTCTCCCACCCCCCACCTTATTCCCCTCAGCACGGGCCTCACACTTTGAGCAGAGTATCTCAGACACTCTCTCCCTTTTGAGTTTGTATAGACTGACTTCTATTTGGGTTCACACAACGACCGTATCACTACTACACAATTGTGGAAAAGTAGTATTAGGAATGCAATGCATTTTCAATTGCCTTATTGGTAATTAACAGCTGGTATTAAGGAGGAGGCTCTAGGATTGCATGTCCAGACATCTTTCAGCAAACCACTAGTGGGAACTTCTGTCTTACCAACAAACTATTAAGAAGGTCCACTGCACAATTGCTGAATATTTTGATATTGTAAAATTTAAAAATGTTACAGCCTAGACCACCAGGGAGGGAGAGGAGGGGGAAAAAAATCACTGACAGTGGACACTGGGAGTGCATGAGAAAAATCTCTAGTTTTCTATCTCCATGTGAACCACACTGAGCTTCCCTTTGAATCTGGCTATGGGGAAATTAAAGCCATCTGAAATCACTATCATTTTTTATCTTGGAGTCAGGAGCATGGACAGGAGGGAACAGTCTGGTCAAAACAACATGGCTGAGTTTCTGATCACTAAGGCTATGTCTACATGGCAGAGTTTTTGCACAAAAACTTGCAGAGCATCTATACTACAAGCACGTTCTTGCACAAGAAAAAGTACAGTAAATCGTAAGATCACGGGGCTTTTTGCACAAGAGTTATTCCTCTTTCTATGAGGAATAAGCCTTTGTGCAAGAGCTTGTGCCAAAAGGCTAGTGTGGACGGGAAACTGGGGTTTGTTGTGCAAGAAACCCCTATGGCTAAAATGGCCATCAGAGCTTTCTTGCACAAGAGAGCATCCACACTGCCATGGACACTCTTGCACAAAAGCACATGGCAGCGTGAACACACTCTTGCACAAAAAGTTCTTGCGCAAGAAACCTGCAGTGTAGACTTAGCCAAACTATCAGACTCCAGGGCCAAGAAATTACTTTTCTTTTGTCTAGAGGTATTTGTGTACCAAATACAAGCTATTCTGTTGACCACACTCACTCATTTTAAAATCTCTCAATCCTACAAGTCTCACAAAAACACTCCACAAGCAGCAATAGTAATTACAGTAAAACTCCAACTGTCCGGCATCCAGTGGTCCAGCATTCCCGATAGTCTGGCACCGACTGGAACCTGGAAGTGCTCTGGCCAGCTGGACAATTGGAGCTGCTCTGCCCCCGGCTTCCCCAAGTCAGTCGCTGATCAGTTTCAGCAGCAGCTGACTTGGGGAAGCGGGGGGCAGAGCAGCTGGGTTAGTCCTGCAGCACCACCCTCTCCCACGCTGTGCAGTTCTCTGCTGACTCCCCCCACCCCAAGCCCCTCATAGCCCCCCTTCTGGTACTCCAGCATATCCGATAATCTGGCACACCCTGGGTCCTAAAGGTGCTGGATTATCAGAAACTTACTGTACCATGTGTGGTAGCAATTCTTGTCCAGAACACTTTAATTCTCATACACTGTAGGGAGTGTGAGTGTTTGCTTACAGAAAGCAGTTGTGCATTTCATTGCAGTTGAAACCTTTTACAAATTATTTCTACATAGCACCAAACATTCATCTTGAAACACAGACCTCACTTGGATGTTTCAATGTCTAGTAACGAGAGCAATTAACATGAATACATAATTGGAGCCATTCAGACACTTTATATCAGCCTACATTATGTTTCAAATTATTAATATTCTTTATTTTTATACCTGTTCACTTGTCGCAGGCAGAGATCCAAACTCTTTAATGTACTTGTCAGTTTCTTTGGCAAGTTGGTTTGCATGTTGCTGCTTCTGCTGCCTAAACCAAACACACCATTTATATTATAGAAACTGGATGATATTGCTGGAACAATTTCACTGATGCTCAGCAGTATTTTTAGAAGAACATTACTAAGTGTTTTACTAAATATTTATTTACAAGCTTTTCTATTCTTTGCCATCACAGTTGAGAACTGATCACAAAGAATGATGTAGGATGACAGACTCCGAAAGGAATGATATTAAATTAGTGATGCAGCATTGGCAACAAGATGGCCACCGATAGCTGTACAGAAAAAAGTTACAAATGCCAATTCCATTCTGGGAAATAGCTATAGAAAAAAATATCTGCAGAAAAATAGAAAATTGCAGCCTCATCAACTTGCCTTTGCGGTGGTATCTGAATCATCAAGTAGACATAGAGCAGACTTCAGATACATTCTAAATGAAGAGCAGGAAAAACGAAGTCTCATTTTTGACAAATAAAGGAGTCAAATAGAAAAGGCAAATTAGGAGAGTCACAGACATGGAAAAGGAGGAAAAGAAGATAGGAAACAAGAAAAACTGTGCTCCTAATGGGGAGTATGGTTTAGGGATATTAAATACTGATTAACTGAATAGTCGAGTAACCTCAAAGTCTTATCGATTAGTCAACTGTTCTATAGTTCCTGGGGGTTGGGCTGGCAGCCAGTGCACTCCGACCTCACTCCCAAGACCACCCTTGCCACTCCACGCTGCTGTCACTATCAGAGACAGCAGCACTGGGTGCCAGGTGGGAGCTGGTCCGTGAAGGGAACTGGTTTAAAAAACCCAGCTGCCCTTGTGGACTGGCTGCCTGTTGCCCTGTGTCGCTGCCTCTGATAAAGAGGCAATGGCACAGATTGGCAGCAGCCCCTGTTTAGAGATGGTTTGAGCTCCCAGCTCCAGAACAAGCCAGAATTCAGACGGGCTGCCTGCCCGCCCAGCTCCTAATACATTATAAATGCAGAGCCACAGTGGGGGTAGGTCCAAGACCAATCACAAGTCAGGACTGAGCCGGGCTGCTGGCCAGCCTGCTAAAAAAATGTACTGGCAAGTGGGGTAGGGGAGAATGTATGTAGTCTCTAACAGTGTTTCTCAACCAGTGGTACGAGTACCCTTAGAGAGCAGTCTGGGGAGTACATTAACAACTGAAATTTGGAGAAAGCCAAATCTGTGTGTTCGTTTTACAGCACTTTATTATTTTTGTACTTCTTACACCCAAAAATTTCATCGCCTGCCCAGCTACGACTAAGTTGTTTAAACAAATGTGCTGCAATGGTAGAAAAAAAAAGTGTGTGTCTGAAAACTGCAGGTATTGGGGGTATTAATTTTTTTTTTTAAAAGGGGTACTTTATTTAAAAAAAGGTTGAGAAACACTGGTTTATAGCTTTTGCTTGCTGTTTAATCAATTAATCGACTACACTTTTACATCCCTAATATGGTTCTCCACTATGAGGGTATGTCTACACTAGCCACCCTAGTTTGGAGTAGGGTGGCTAATGTAGTCATTCGAACTTGCAAATGAAGCCCGGGATTTACATATCCCGGGCTTCATTTGCATGTTCCCGGGCGCCGCCATTTTTAAATGCCTGGTAGTTCGAACTACCTGCCCGCAGCTACACGTGGCATGGGCTAGGTAGTTCGAACTAAAGCTCCTAATTCGAACTACCATTACTCCTCATTGTAGGATTTAGCAGGTAGTTCGAACTACCAGGCATTTAAAAATGGCTGCGCCTGGGAACATGCAAATGAAGCCCGGGATGTTTAAATCCCGGGCTTCATTTGCAAGTTCGAATGACTACATACCCAAAGATACTGAACAAATTAAATTTGTATTTGTCCAATATCTTTTAGTGGAGAAACACACTCACCTCTAGGGGTGTGTCTAGACTATAGGGTTGTCTCGACAAAAGTGGAGTTTTGTTGACAAAACTATACCTGTGTCTACACTACTGCCACGTTCTGTCGACAGTAAGTCGACAGAATGCAGCAGTTTTGTCGACGGTGGTAAATTTCATTCTATGAGGAATAATGCATTTTTTCCCCAACAGAGTTCTGTCAAAAAAAGGCACTATTGCATTCACGCTGTGCTTTTTCAAAAGAGTGTCTACACTCTGTCGAAAAGAACTGGTTGTAGTCTAGACACTCTTTTTCGACAGAGGCTTTGTCAACAGCATCCGTCGACAAAGCCTCTGTCGACAAAAGCCTGTAGTCTAGATGTACCCTAGGAGTGCAACTTTGTTGTTCTGTCTCTCTCTCTCTCTCTCTCTCCTTCTTTTCCTTCTTCCCTATGTGTCTGACTCTCCTCACTTTCAATTTCTATTTCTTTCCCTTCCTCACCCATGGGTTTAACTCCAATCATCTCCCTCATTTCATTTGCAAAATGATCATCTTCTAGAGGGTCAACATTGATATTTTTAAAGCATCCTCATTAAGCTTTAGAAACAAATATGCCAATGGTGAGTGGGACCATGAGCTCACGCCTCTCACAATTTCACTCAATCTGCAGACTCAGGAAGATAGCACTGCTTAAGATTTTTGCAGAATGACTTACATGTGACACAAATGCATGAAGCATATCTGACCTGTCCCAAAGAGCAGCTACTGTAACATCTGTCAGTTTTCCTGGCCATTTAGAAGCAACCACAGACCTAAATATATTCCCAGACAGCAAACAAAAAGCCAATGGATACCCCAGTTTCAAGAAGTAGAGCATCACTCCATTGGTATGCCTTCACATTTCCTCCCATACTGTATCACATTAACTTTCGTTCAGCAGATACAGTTCAAACCAATTTACCTTCAATCTGAACAGATCATTGCATATGCCAGAGATTCCAAACTGTGGGGCATGCCCCCATGGGGGGCACATCTGGAGACCAGGCCAGCCCCCACAACCTCACCTTCCATACACCAGCCCACACTGCACCCCCAAGCTCTGGCAGGAGGCAGAAAGAGGTAAGGGAGGCATGAGCTAAAACATTTGGGGACCATTGGCATAATGTTATATCAAACCATATCATTCAGGATTAAATTTTCAACTACTGTACAAAGGCACCCCACCCTATGCTAAGTGCTGCCACCTGCAACAGGAACTTTAATAAACTGCAAGTTTAGTTACTGTGTAAGTTCTAGAGTTTACTTTCTATCAGGGTCAACAGTAGGAAATCCATTGTGGATCAAGGGTAATTGGTTGCCAAGATGTAGTCCGGACTCAGAGTAATTTGTCCTTCTGCACAGAATGAATGAGACAGCGCTGGTCTAATAAACTTCTTCCTGCCATTCAATGGCTACTGTGCTGTATTAACAGCCATAGAGAAATCTGCCAACTTTCTCACTCAAGGAATTAGCACAGCACACAGCATGTGCATATTTGTTTAGGATTAAAAGAGTAAAAAAAGTGGTAGAAAAGTTAGGAATAAGTCGAACGAGCCTCTGTATTGGGAAACAGAGTGGCCAATAGTGTCTTAGGCAGGGATACTAAGGAAAGCCTACTTTCAGAAGGCTGCAGTATAACTTCTTCCAACTGGCATTGTTTCACTTGTGTTCTCTCGTATTTTTTGGTGTACATTCACCTGATATTGTTAGCTAGCACTGTTTAAACAAACAGTCTCACTTTGCTTTCTTATAGTACCTTCTGGTGCTGTCAGTTTGTCCTTGTTTATGTTTAACATTGCACATGTTCAGCAGAAGTATGGAGAACTGACTAAAGGTAGGTTAGCATGGCAAGATCTTTTAGGTTACAAGCAAGCCTCAGGATTTATTTTTTTCCATGTTTACGCTTTAATACTTCTGCTGTTCTACTCCTCCCCCTCCTCACGCACCTCTGCCAACAAAGCTGAGCACTTTGACACCTCCTGGCAATGTTTATAATGTAGTGAAATTAGAGGTCTTCACATAAAGCACTTACAGCTGTTGCCTCAATTCAGGTGTGTCTTGTGGTGTTCCAAGCTGATGCAGTATTCTCTGTATTTCTGCAGCTATTGGCAAAGAGAAGGAGAAATTTTAAATGACCCAGTGAGAGATCTCTCCATTTAGTTTTATGCATTTTTGCATCACAACTGAAGAGCACACTTGTTGCCAAAATGTGTGTATACAACCGTGGTAGGCCAAACAAAATGTGATTTTCAATATGCTTCAATAAATCCTAGGCTAATACTACCTAGATAGTTCAGCATGTAGTTTTTTGTAAGTGGTGATGTAAGGATGAAATTAGCTTAAACCAGATTCCTTAGCTCAAGTTTATCTATAATTATTGTAAGCCGCAATACAGGTTGGACCTCCCTGGTCTGGCACCCTTGGGACCTGACTGGTCCCAGATGAGGGATTTTGCTGCATCAGGGGAGGTCATTTCTGGATCCCCTACTGCTGGCCCCACTGCCCTTACCTCCGTGGCTCCTGGTCCCGCAGGGCAGCTGCATGCCATGGTTCCCTGCCCCTCCAATCTACTGTGGCTCCCAACCCCACTGGGCAGCACTGCCGCCACACACTGGGCAGCCTCAACATCAGTTCACTGCTAGCAGCCCACTGTCCTGCAAACCCCACTGGCAACCATGCTGCTGGCCCTCTGCTGAGATTCTCTGGCCCTGTAAAATCAATGCTGGACCACGGATATTGCCGAACCAGAGAATCCCTTTTAAAATTGTTTCAACCTATACATCCTGTATCAAAGACGGTCACACACCCTTGGTGTATAAATATTCATAACCACTATGATTCAGAAATGACAGCTCACTAAGCGTGCCTGAACTTAAAGTAGTAGTGATACAAAATAAATATCCAGTGTTACATTTGAAATGTGATTTATGCATTTGGACCAAATGCTTTAAAGTATCACTTAATTATGGGATACAAGAGTAACTTAAACCCCCATGACATGTTTTAAGCTCTGAATTAGCAAAATGAAGATGCAATTTAATGTGTCTATTAGAGCTTTATTATTCACCATGTGATCACTAGTCTGACTAGAGGCACATTTTTAGAAGCTCAACAGAAGGGTATTTAATGGAAAGACTATTTACATCCCTAGGTGTGCAAGCGACTAGTAGAGTGACTACTCAAGTACTCATCCCCTTCCCCCTCTGCCTCTGTATGGGGCCAAGGGGGAGAAGCAGGAGCCGGCTTAAAAGCCAGTTCCTCCCTGCACAGGTCACTAGTATGGGGGGAGGAGAGGAGGCAGAGCCACAGCTGTTCAGTCCCAGATCAGTGCGCTCTTGAGAGCTAACCCCACTGTGGCTCTGCACATTAAATTTCCAGTGTAAATTCCATCAACTACCTGATTAGCTAATTAACCATTACTTAACATCCCTATGAACACCTACAGTGAACCGTTAATTATCTTCCCAAAACACTTTGCATTTTTTTGGGGGTGGGGAGAGGGAGAAGCCATCCAGGCAGCAGAAAATATGAAAGTCATCAAATCAAGGGTCTTCTATGTAATTTAGTGTGTTGACCTATAGATAAGCAATTTTTCTTAAAACTGTGTTTGAGAAATGTCATCTTTTACTGTTTCTTTTATTAGTTACTAAGAACAGGAAAAATAAAATCTCAGAGGGGAAGCTGTATCCACCAAAAAACACCACACAGCACCAAAAGTACTGTGGCACCTTAAAGGCTAGCAGATTTACTTAGGCATAGCCTTTCCTGGGCAAAAATCCCACCTTGTTATGAATCAGATGAAGTGGGATTTACCCAAAAAAGCTTATGCCCAAGTAAATCTTAAAGATCCCATAGGACTCTTCGCTTTTGTGAAAAAAAATAAAGCTTCATGACATTATACATTCAAAATCTACATGGCATTATATAAGCTAAAATACCTTGCTATAAAATTATTCCATTACATAAAATAAATGAGAATCCCTTTCCAAAGCATTTAAAAGAGCATTAGCAGTGAGTGATTTTTAAAGTTTTTTTCCAGAGTTCTGTGAATAATCATATTGCATTTATGTTTTGTTTTAAATATATACATTCCAACGTTCAGTACTGTTAAAAATGACAGATTACTTTCTATATGATGAAGGTAGAAAGAAAATATTTAGAAAAAACAGTGCCAACAAACTATTCAAATTTGCATACAACACAAATAAGCTTCTGAGAAGTTTGAAAGTGAATTTAAGCTACACAATAATTGAAGTATATAAACTACTGTTATAAAAAATAACTTTACAGTTTTTAAATTTAATCCAATTAAACAGAACAAAATGTAGAGAAAATTCCAAGAATAAAAATCTTGAACCAACAGCATAATTTGTGAGCATATGCCACCTGCTGGCAAGTTTGAGAGAGACAGAGTCACAGTGCTCTAAGGCAGACAAGATTTATTAAAATGAATGTTAACTCAAGACTTAAATAATGAAATGCTATGCTGAGATGTATTAGAAACTCTATTTTATTGGTAGCTAATCACAATAGTTTTTGTAGTCTCTCTTGTCTAATATACTAAATATTTTAAGTAACAAATTTAAAGGTTAAAAACATAATTTAAATGTGTAACTCATGCAAATGACCCTGAGAAATTAATCAAGATGTTGGTTAAGTCAGATCTGTTTTACTGAGTACTAAACTCTCATAAAGCAAACAATTTCTGATATTTTACTTCAAAAAAATCTTTTCAACTGCATGCCAAGAACCAAAGGGTTAATATGTTACTGATAATTCATCCCCAGAGTGAAACACTTCTGTATGCATTTTGGACACACAAGCTTTTAAATGCTCTACTATACCTACATCTCTTACAGATGTACAAAGGTTTACCAACTTGGATTACCCTACTACTATCTAGAAGATGAATTGTCTAACTGCAACAGAGGATTAGAAGTGAATAAAGGTTAAGCAGAACCCATCATATGTAAATTGCTCTTAACCTCTGCACTTGCACTATATTTTACACTTTCATCTTTGAGGTTCACGATTGTGGCATTTGGAACTAAATAAAAATAGATGCTGTCTCCTAAATAAAAATAGATGTTTTCTCCTAAATATTTTGAGGATGCAAAAGGTAGACAAAGTGCAGGGTGAAAGGGGGGAGGGCTTAGTCCCTGTAAAACAAAGGCTATACTCCTACACAAATTCCAGCTTCTCAGACTTCCACCATTTAGGGTCAAAATGATTTGTTGCTTGTAATTAGGAACACAGAAAATGTGAGACCACACACCTTATGTAATCTACTAACCTAGTTCAAATTGATCACTACTGAGTAGTTTAAAAACCCTACCAGGCAGCTAGTCAACAGTGTAATAAGTCAGAGGAGTAAATTTGTTCCAGCTTTATCCTTGGGTAGCAGGATTTTTGTAAATTACAATGGACATAAACGATGGATGGGTCAAGACACTGGTATAGTTAGAAGTCCTTGTAGGGTTCAGTCCAATTTTCATAAATAAGACCTGAAAGTACTATTAGATAATCAAAGAAATCAAAATCTTTTATGATCACCAAGCAGCTATTTAGACATTACATTTGCTTCCCAAAGGCTGCTATCTAGTTTCCAATGGGCAGACATTGGTATCAGAAAAGAATCATCATAAATAATAATTTGTTGGGGCCTGAACAGGTTTACTCATTACTTGCCTTGCAATAGACAAACACCTTCCTATCAAGAATCTTATTTTGGCACAGTAAAGCAAACCGGTGCTAATGCAGTGTGATATGGTCTGTTTTCTGAGAGCAGACAGACCTAAACCTCTCTTCCCCAAGGAAGCTGGTTGGAAAGCTATACAGGAACAGCCTCATTTACTACTTTCACCACCGCTCCTCAACTAGGAAGGTGGTAAGTAGGGATGCAAGCAAGTAGTCGACTAACCAATAAGCCTGGGCTTATCAGTTAGTCAACTACTTGCATCTCCCCCCCCCCCCCCCTTTGCTGCCTCTGTATTAGAGGTGGGGAGGGGAAAGCAGGAGCCAGTGCTGGGGGCGGAGGGGGAAGACTGCTTAAAACCCAGTTCCGCTGGCATCATCTTCATGGTGACACCTGCCTCCCCTCCCACCCCCCGCCCTGTGCTGCTGCCAGTACCAGAGTACTTTCTCAGAGGCAGTAGTGCGGAGGGCAGGAGGGTGTCACATTATTGGATTTTATAATGAGCAGACAGATCACTGCTGCACCCACCGGGAGGGAGGGATGTTTGCCCCAAAGTCTATACAAAGGGGGCCATGTGAGGTGTCAAATGAAAGCTTATGTTCTACTGATTCTATATATGCTGCTCATGCACTTATATGTCGTCTGTACGTTATGAATATGGGCTGTGTGCTGATACTGTGAATGTTCTCTGCCTGAGACAGAGCAATGGTCCTGGACTGCCTGTCGTAAAGAAGGAATGTCCAATGAATAGCTATCCTAATTAGCATGGCTCCAGGGACAAGGACTCTCAGGGTGGCCCAATATATACCTGAGGAATGTGTCTGGAAACCCGAAGACCAATCAGTATCGCATGGCTGCTGGCATGTAAAACATGCCATTATGTGACTAGCTCCAGCTTGGGAGACACACCAGGAATGGATAAAAAAAATGCCATGAGGTGGACTCCATTTTGTTTTCAATCTCACTACTGATCCCAGATGCAGCCTTGCTAGGGACAGAGAGCCAGGAAGGATTGCTGACCCATCCTGACATAGGATGTACACCAGAGACTTCTAAGCTAGCAGTTTGTAACGTCTCTGCTAAGAGCCTGCATCAAGAACTTGGTGATTGGCGCATGTAATGTATTCTCCTTAACCTTACTCTCAACCTTTTTCTTTCTTTTAATAAACCTTTAGATTCTAAAGGATTAGCTCAGCATGCTCGTGTGGGTAAGATCTAAAGTGTAAATTGACTGGGGATCTGTGGCTGGTTCTTTGGGACCGGGAGAATCCGTTCGGGGTAGGTGAAATTGGGTTCTATAACCTCTCACCTGCGTGTCTGCCCAGGGCTGATTGTGGCACAGGGAGAGCTGGCGTGTCTGAGGGGTTTGGCTCTTGAGGCTTCCTGCTGGCCGGATTGGCAGCTGAA